GATATAATAACTGCGATTGATAAAAAAAACAGTACTGTGCAGCCGTCTTCATCGACCTGGCCAAGGCTTTTGACTCTGTCAATCACCGCATTCTTATTGGCAGAAAAAATTGCCTTGGTTTCTCAACTGACTGCCTCGCCTGGTTCACCAACTACTTCTCAGATAGAGTTCAATGTGTCAAATCGGAGGGCCTGTTGTCTGGACCTCTGGCAGTCTCTATGGGGGTGCCACAGGGTTCAATTCTCGGGCCGACTCTATTCTCTGTGTATATCAATGATGTCGCTCTTGCTGCTGGTGACTCTCAGATCCACCTCTACGCAGACGACACCATTTTGTATACATCTGGCCCTTCATTGGACACTGTGTTAACAAACCTCCAAACGAGCTTCAATGCCATACAACACTCCTTCAGTAGCCTCCAACTGCTCTTAAATGCTAGTAAAACTAAATGCATGTTCTTCAATCGAACGCTGCTTGCACCCGCCCGCCCGACTAGAATCACTACTCTCGGCCGGTCTGATTTAGAATATGTGGACAACTACAAATACCTAGGTGTCTGGTTAGACTGTAAACTCTCCTTCCAGACTCACATTAAGCATCTCCAATCCAAAGTTAAATCTAGAATCGGCTTCCTATTTCGCAACAAAGCCTCCTTCACTCATGCTGCCAAACATGCCCTCGTAAAACTGACTATCCTACCGATCCTTGACTTCGGTGATGTCATTTACAAAATAGCCTCCAACACTCTACTCAGCAAATTGGATGTAGTCTATCACAGTGCCATCCGTTTTGTCACCAAAGCCCCATATACTACATCTTATCCAGAGCGACTACCCACCACTGACCTGTACGCTCTTGTTGGCTGGTCCTCACTACATATTCGTCGCCAAACCCACTGGCTCCAGGTCATCTATAAATCACTGCTAGGCAAATCCCTGCCTTATCTTAGCTCATTGGTCACCATAGCAACACCCACCCGTAGTATGCGCTCCAGCAGGTATATCTCACTGGTCACCCCCAAAGCCAACACCTCCTTTGGCCACCATTCCTTCCAGTTCTCTGCTGCCAATGACTGGAACGAACTGCAAAATCTCTGAAGCTGGAGACACTTATCTCCCTCACTAACTTTAAGCATCAGTTGTCAGAGCACCTTACCGATCACTGCACCTGTACACAGCCCATCTGAAATTAGCCCACCCAACTACCTCATCCCCATATTGTTATTTATTTTGCTCATTTGCACCCCAGTATCTCTATTTGCACATCATCTCTTGCACATCTATCATTCCAGTGTTAATACTAAATTGTAATTATTTTGCACTATGGCCTATTGCCTTACCTCCATAACTTGCTACATTTGCACACACTGTATACATATTTTCTGTTGTATTTTTGACTTTATGTTTTGTTTACCCCATATGTAACTCTGTGTTGTTGTTTTTATCGCACTGCTTTGCTTTATCTTGGCCAGGTCGCAGTTGTAAATGAGAACTTGTTCTCAACTGGCTTACCTGGTTAAATAAAGGTGAAATAAATAACCAGCTTATTCTAAAATTGATTGAATTGTTTTTTCCACCATTATTTTACACACTACCCCATAATGACAAAGTAAAAACAGGTTTTTAGAAATGTTTGCAAATTATTAAAAATAAAAAAACTGAAATTACATTTACATATGTATTCAGATCCTTTACTCAGTACTTTGTTGAAGCACCTTTGGCAGCGATTACAGCCTCTAGTCTTCTTGGGTATGACGCTACAAGCTTGGCACACCTGTATTTGGGGAGTTTCTCCCATTGTTCTCTGTAGATCCTTACAAGTTCTGTCAGGTTGGATGGGGAGCGTCGCTGCACAGCTATTTTCAGGTCTCTCCAGAGATGTTTGATCAGGTTCAAGTCCGGGCTCTGGCTGGGCCACTCAAGGACATTCAGAGACTTGTCCCGAAGCCACTGCGTTGTCTTGGCTGTGTTCTTAGGGTCGTTGTCCTGTTGGAAGGTGAACCTTCGCCCCAGTCTGAGGTCCTGAGCGCTGTGGAGCAGGTTTCCATCAAGGATCTCTCTGTACTTTGCTCCGTTCATCTTTGCCTCGATCCTGACTAGTCTCCCAGTCCCTGCCGCTGAAAAACATCCCCACAGCATGATGCTGCCACACCATGCTTTACCGTAGGGATGGTGCTAGGTTTCCTCCAGACGTGACGTTTGGCATTCAGGCCAAAGAGTTCAATCTTGGTTTCATCAGACCAGAGAATCTTAGTCCTTTTAGGTGCCTTTTGGCAAACTCCAAGTGGGCTGTCATGCTCCTTTTACTGAGGAGTGGCTTCCGTCTGGCCACTCTACCATAAATGCCTGATTGGTGGTTGTCCTTCTGGAAGGTTCTCCCATCTCCACAGAGAAACTCTGGAGCTCTGTCAGTCACCTCCCTGACCAAGGCCCTTCTCACCCGATTGCTCAGTTTGGCTGGGCGGCCAATTCTAGGAATAGTCTTGGTGGTTCCAAACTTCTTCAATTTTAAGAATGATGGAAGCCACTGTGTTCTTGGGGACCTTCAATGCTGCAGATCTGTGCCTCGACACAATCCTGTCTCGGACCTCTGCGGACAATTCCTTCGACCTCATGGCTTGTTTTTTGCTCTGACAAGCACTGTCAACTGTGGGATCTTATATAGACAGGTGTGTGCCTTTCCAAATCATGTCCAATCAATTGAATTTACCACAGTTGGACTCCCATCAAGTTGTAGAAATATCTCAAGGATGATCAATGGAATCAGGATGCAACTGAGCTCAATTTCGAGTCTCATAGGAAAGGGTCTGAATACTTATGTAAATAAGGTATTTCTGTTTTATTTTTAATAGATCTGCAAACATTTCTAAACCTGTTTTCGCTTTGTCATTATGGGGTGTTGTGTGCAGATTGAGCATTTTTTTTTGGGTATTTAATCCATTTTATAATTAGGCTGTAACAAAGTGGTCATTTCTTTCCGAATGCACTCTATACATCATTGCCCGCATGTGGCTTCCCACAACAAGCCCTGACCCATTTCACTCAAGGAGAGCAGTTGTTGGTGTTGCTCTAGCGACTCCTTGTGGCGGGCCGGGCGCCTGCAAGCTCACTTCGGTCACCAGCTGGACTGTGTTTCCTCCGACACATTGGTGCGGCTGGCTTCCGGTTTAAGCGAGCAGTGTGTCAAGAAGCAGGGTGGCTTGGCAAGGTTGTGTTTCGAAGGACGCATGGCTCTCGACCTTCGCCTCTCCTGAGTCCGTAGGGGAGTTGCAGCGATGGGACAAGACTGTAACTACCAATTTGGATATCACAAAATTGGGGAGGAAAAAGAGGTAAAAGTACAGAAAAAAAAGAATAAGAGCACTTCACTTGCTGTTCATTGGTCTGCATGGTCAAACGCAACAAGATGTTGGTGACAACGATGCTGCTTTCAAAGCGTTCTATAATGACACTTAGTTTATATCGTACTGTTTGCAAACAGTTAGGCTTTTCTTAGCAAGTTGTCACTGAAAATAAATAATGTTAGCCGCTAATGCTAATCGCTAGTTAGTTTGCTAGCTAAATATAATAAGTCAGAACAAACCTAGCTCGCCTGATATCAGTGCTGGTGTAGGCCTAGATCAGCATGTTGTTGGTGCAACGGTATCTTCTAAATCAGAGAGGAATAGGCGAAGCATGAATATGTTAGCTAGCTACACGAAGAAGGGGAATGTAACATTGTATAGGGTCCCCTGGGAAACTCTGACCAACACTTTGGTCCTACCCTGTCACAATAATTCCTCTCTGGCTTATTCATTTGTCATGTCAAACAACAATGTATTCAAAGTGCTGCCCACTATATTCCAAGTATTTAATTACAATAATAATTATATTTCCATGATTCCAACTACACCAATAAACTAGGCCTAGATGTTTTGCCCATATCATGCAGCCCTGCGTGGCACTGTCTGGAAATGATAACAAAAGTGCAGGAAATGCAGAAATTGATGAATGCTTAAATTATTTTGGTGGAAGTTAGATTGTTTTATACTGTTCAATCAGAATGGAGAAAGACCCGTTTTTAAATCCCGTATAATTGTGTTGCCACCCAAGGGTCATAAGCTACTCATAAAGCATATTTATAACTTTTTATTATTAAAGATGCACTATGTAAAAATCACTCTGCCATTTCCTGGTTGCTAAAATTCTAATAGTTGTCCTAATTTCAGTGTGTGACAAAACAAGCAAATATAGTGTAGAGAATCATTGTGCCATCTAAACCACTGAAATATATTTTCCTTAACCAAACATTTTGTATTTTCAGCTGTGTGAAGCTGGTGTACAAAACCGAAAGTAAAAGACGCAAATATGAAACTTAAGAACGGGAAGCATAGAAATAATGCATATAAAACAGATCTACCGCTTCTTAGACTTGCTTTCAATTAGAATCACAAATCTATAACACACATTTCTATGTGAATTTGTTTGGGTTGCCCAAAAAGTTACATATTGCAACTTTAAACACAAAATACCGTTAAATACGTCATCACAATATTTGTAACATATTTGACAGTATATGATATTTTGCCTATATTGCCCAGCCCTAATTGGTCCTGTGCACCTGAGGACATGCCACTGCCTGCACAGAGGGGGGGGGCTTACTGAGCTGTCTGGGAGCTTTGGGGGAGATGGGGAGGAGCTTCACCAGAAGCAAGACACCTTATACTCGTTCTGATAAAGGCTACATGACTGTTGAAACATCTACAGTGATATGTGGGCTTACATACCTTTTAGTTGAATGCATTGCTCTAGATAAGAGCGTCTGCTAAATGACCAAAATGTAAATGCAATGTTAAAATGTGATTTGCTTCTTTTTTTATGTATTCAAAACCTGTAACCTTACCATAATGCCACTCTGGTCAGGTATGGACAGGCAGGGATAGAGTTGTAATGGTAGATGTGGTGTTGATATCTTGGTTTTGTTTCACTACGTCCACTCATGAGCCCTGTGTGTGTGTTTTAGACTCTAAATGGCTGCTAGGAAGTCTGATACCCACAACAATGGTGAGTGTGTCTCTCTTTCTGCCTCTTCATCTTCTCCATCCATCTGCTCATTTTGGTGTCATTTTCATTCAGGCCTTCTTCTCAACCTGTTTTTCCAGGACCCATTAGCTACCTTGATGACGTTCCCTTCAAAATCAACGATAAGTTCCGCTGCCCTGCCAAAGTGGGGCTTCCCGTTGGCATCTGCCTGCCCGACTGTGGTTCTGTGCTCGCCGACCTGCAGGTAAGTCTTCTGACTTCTGGCACTGTTGCATCAAGGGTTTCAAGGACTGGGATGCTAGAGGGTGATTTGTATAGCACCCCCTTTATATTTGTCTGGGATCCTTAAAGTTAAGAAAAATCCCAAACCGAAACGCTTTAAAAGGAAATCTACAATTACGGTCACAGTGCAGTTATCACAAAACATTATTTTCCGTGTTATAGCCTAACTAGACGATTAGGCTATAAAGGCCTGGGGAAAGTTTTATAATTTAAAGGTTGACACAGCGATATGATCTAGATGAAGAAAGTAAATGGCATAGGCCTAGTTGGTCAAATTCCGTAACAGCTAAGAGCGTTGAAGCGCGAGGCTCAACTTCTCCGCTGTTTTGGTGCCCTCGCTACCACACTGTGAACAGCGTGAAGCGAACCCATGCACATGCCCAGATACTGTGTGTGACCGTGAGAGCGAAGTGTTCCATCTCTCTCATCAAAATATCCTAGCCTATTCATTGATGATAGGCCCTGGTTTACTGAAGTTGCGAGACATTGCAAGCCAAGAAATTGTGAGAGAAAGCATTGTATTGCGAGATACAGCTTTTGATTGCCGATAGATATGCTTAGTGCACAGTTCTGACTCTGTCTGCCTGGTGGCCGACCTGCCTATACTGTGCCCCTCCCCTCTCCGTCCCTTGCTAGCGCGCTATGAAAGATGCAAGTGTTTGTGTTCTCGGAAGTACGGCAACTAATTAGTCTCCTCCGTTTGAAAAATACTGAATCTTGACACTCAGAAATGGGAGTCGACACGGAGTCGACGTGCAAGGAGTTGAGGAATCAATTATTTTGGAGTCGACGTGCAAGGAGTTGAGGAATCAATTATTTTGGAGTCGACGCTCCACCACTACGTCGTTGTCGTTAACAGTTGGAAAAATGGAGTAGAAAGGCAAGCGACAGCCATGAAGTCCAGTATAGGAATACTGTGATAATGTATTTGTTTGTTTTAGGGGGTGGATCAGCTTTAATATTGCATATAGATTGTGGCTTCTATCAATGTAATTGTCTGCGTAATTTCCAATCCCCCTTTTATTTATATATATGCTTTTCCAAAAGTCTTGAAGGAGTTCCCACATATGCTGAGCACTTGTTGGCTGCTTTTCCTTCACTCTGCCGTCCGACTCATCCCAAACCATCTCAATTTGGTTGATGTTGGGGGATTGTGGAGGCCAAGTCATCTGACGCAGCACTCCATCACGCTCCTTCTTGGTAAAATAGCCCTTACACAGCCTGGAGGTGTGTTGGGTCATTGTCCTGTTGAAAAACAAATGATAGTCCCACTAAGCCCAAACCAGATGGGATGGCTTATCGCTGTGGAAGCCATGCTGGTTAAGTGTGCCTTGAATTCTAAATAAATCACAGTGTCACCAGCAAAGCACCCCCACACCATAACACCACCTCCTCCATGCTTTACGGTGGGAACTACACATGCAGAGATACAATGCATTGCTAAAGTATTCATCCTGCTTAGCGTTTTTCCTATTTTGTTGCATTACAACCTGTAATTTAAATGGATTTTTATTTGGATTTCATGTAATGGACATATTTCAAATTGGTGAAGTGAAATGAAAAAAATTGTTTCCAAAAATTAATAACGGAAAAGTGGTGCGTGCATATGTATTCACCCCCTTTGATATGAAGCCCCTAAATAAGATCTGGTGCGACCAGTTACCTTCAGAAGCCACATAATTAGTTAAATTAAGTCCACTTGTGTGCAATGTAAGTGTCACATGATCTCAGTGTATGTGTGTGTATATATACACCTGTTCTGAAAGGCCCCAGAGTCTGCAACACCACTAAGCAAGGGGCACCACCAAGCAAGCAGCACCATGAAGACCAAGGAGCTCTCCAAACAGGTCAAGGACAAAGTTGTGGAGAAGTACAGATCAGGGTTGGGTTATAAAAAAAAAAATCAGAAACTTTGAACATCCCACGGAGCACCATTTAAATCCATTATTAAAAAATTGAAAGAATATGGCACCACAACAAACCTGCCAAGAGAGGGCCGCCCACCAAAACTCACGGACCAGGCAAGGAGGGCATTAATTAGAGGCAATAAAGAGACCAAAGATAACCCTGAAGGAGCTGCAAAGCTCCACAGCGGAGATTAGCGTATCTGTCCATAGGACCACTTTAAGCCGTACACTCCACAGAGCTGGGCTTTACGGAAGAGTGGCCAGAAAAAAAGCCATTGCTTAAAGAAAAAAATATACACGTTTGGTGTTCGCCAAAAGGCATGTGGGAGACTCCCCAAACATATGGAAGAAGGTACTCTGGTCAGATGAGACTAAAATGTAGCTTTTTGGCCATCAAGGAAAAACGCTATGTCTGGTGCAAACCCAACACCTCTCATCACCCCGAGAATACCATCCCCACAGTGAAAGCATGGTGGTGGCAGCATCATGCTGTGGGGATGTTTTTCATCAGCAGGGACTGGGAAACTGGTCAGAATTGAAGGAATGATGGATGGCACTAAATAGAGGGAAATTCTTGAGGGAAACCTGTTTCAGTCTTCCAGAGATTTGAGACTTGGACGGAGGTTCACCTTCCAGCAGGACAATGACCCTAAGCATACTGCTAAAGCAACACTCGAGTGGTTTAAGGGGCAACATTTAAATGTCTTGGAATGGCCTAGTCAAAGCCCAGACCTCAATCCAATTGAGAATCTGTGGTATGACAAAGATTGCTGTACACCAGCGGAACCCATCCAACTTGAAGGAGCTGGAGCAGTTTTGCCTTGAAGAATGGGCAAAAATCCCAGTGGCTAGATGTGCCAAGCTTATAGAGACATACCCCAAAAGACTTGCAGCTGTAATTGCTACAAAAGGTATTGACTTAGTTATGCACGCTCCAGTTTTCTGTTTTTTTGTCTTATTTCCTGTTTTGTTTCACACAAAAAAATATTTTGCATCTTCAAAGTAGTAGGCATGTTGTTTAAATGAAATGATACAAACCCCCCAAAAATCAATTTTAATTCCAGGTTGTAAGGCAACAAAATAGGAAAAATGCGAAGGGGGGTGAATACTTTCGCAAGCCACTCTACTCCTCATGAATGAGACATATCTCATGACTTAATCAATCCGACAGAATCTGGTTAATCTCCATTCCTTTAGTCCCGTGGCTGCTGCTGCTCACTAACTAGTCCTGCTGGTTCTCTCTCTTCCCTCTTCTCTGGGCACTGCAGTATGACTTCTCCCTGGAGAGGCGGAGCGTGCGCTGGGGGGCGGAGCTGGCTGAGGCCAGGGCGGCGGAGGCCCGAGCTGCAGAGGCGGCCAGGGCGGAGCTAGAGAGCAGGGAGCACTCGGCCCCTGCCCAGGACCCTGACGGGGGATTGGCCTGCGGGGGGAAGAGACCATGCCCTGCCGAGGAGCAGGAAGCTCTCCCGCCCGCGATGAACCCGCTGATGGCCAGCTTGCACCACAACGCTATTCTCACCCCGCTGCCTGCCCCAGCCAGGCAGACCGCTCCCAGCATCCCGACCCCACAGTACCTTAACCTGGCTGACTTTGAGCGCGAGGAGGACCCCTTTGACAAGCTGGAGCTCAAGACACTGGACGATAGGGAGGAGCTGCGCAACATCCTCCAGAGCCAGCCACAGCCCCAGCAGCAGCCGCAGTCTGTATCCCCGCCTGAGGCACCCCAACCCAGGCCAGCATCGCGAGGCAGCACCCCTCCACCCCAGCTCCTCGCCACCAGCCTTCCAGCCAAAACGGGCTTTGCCCACAAACCCAACGGGCTGGTGGCGCTACTGGACATGGACAGAGCTGGGGATCTGTCTCGGGGACAGACAATGGACCCTGACCGGCCCTGCAACATCCGCTCGCTGACCTTCCCTAAGCTGTCAGACCCCGGGGACTCCTACTGTCCGCCGCCTGTACCACGTAGCCTACCCAACGGCAGCCCACCGGCACCCCAGCAGAAGACAGAGGAGCCACCCAGTCACACCCAACACACCAAAAATGGGGCACCAAAGCAGGTGAGCTTTGCACGCACACACATGCGTAGTGGGCCCTGCTTAGTTTCAATTACTAAATGTTTTGTGGACAACAGGAAGATATATATATTTACCCTTATACAGATATGACGCTACAACTCTCTCTCCCTCAATAGATAAGTGCAGGTCCTCCGCCTCTCCCGTGCAGCGGGGCGCTGCTCAGCCTGTCCCCCAGTGAGCGGCAATGTGTGGAGACCATAGTGGCCATGGGCTACTCTTACGAAGGGGTCCTGCGGGCCATGCAGAGGCGAGGCCAGAACGTGGAGCAGGTGCGCCCCTCCGCTCTCCCTCCTCCCGACCACAGCAGCCTAGGCCCATTTCTCCATAGAGATCAATTATAAAGAAATGTTCTATTTTATTATTTGATGTCACTCACTCACTGCCCATTGCGCCCAGGTGATTGTGTGTCATGGTTGACTCTGAAATCATCAGGTGCCTGCGTTATGTGATTGTGTGTGTTCACAACATGTGGCTTTAGAAGTCCACCAGGCAACAAAATGGGGATGGTGGTTGTGAATAAATACATTGAATTTACGCAGCGTTTTTTGTCTCGACACACCATCCACCACCTTGGTTTAATGCCACCCTCAACACTATGATGACATCAGACACAACAGACATGTTAGGGGCTTGTTAACAGTGAATAAACATTCGCCAACAATGTCATGATATGCAGTGGAATTTTGACAGTTTGCCAGCTAGCTTTATTTGGCTACCTATCCTCAAGCATCACTCGAGTACAATATTGTGGATTTAGCTATCCCTATAATCAACAAAGAATATTAAGGGACAGTTAGAAAATTACTGGGGTGAGGGGACTGGTCCAAAATAGGGGAGGGTTGTCAAACTTTTTTTTTTCTTTTGGGAGGGTTGTGTTTAAAAAAATATTGGGAACTGGAGGGTAGTGCGTTTTTTTCCCCCTGGTTTACTTTTGCTCTTTTGCAGGTTTGACTATAATTTCTAATATCCTAGCCAAATTTCCTCATCTGCTTGCATATGAAGGTGTTTTGGTACTTCCGTTATGCTTTAACTTTTACTATACCACAGGTCAATGTAGTCTACCAGTCTAACTGTCTATCCTGCCTCTATCCACCATTCATAGTGACAATAGTGGTAGGTGGATCGTTTGTCCAGATCTGCAATAGGCTAACTAGCAATCATACCACACATAAAATCATTTAAAGCTGCACCAATTTTCAATATAAAGTGAAGACATGAGACACGCAGTTCAAAAAGCTCCCCTATTGATCATTTTTCTGGGAAAAATACAAGTATCTAGACTAGCTTACAACACCACATTGTAATGAATAATTGCATTATTGTTTTTGAGTACAAAATTCTACTTTAGGCTGTATACAGCATTGAAAATGTCATTTGAATTGAATTTACTTCTGATACTGAGATATGCTGTGTGTTGCAGCTGATTATTCTCCCAAGTCATCCTATAATAATGTGGCCACATATGCTCCCAGCATGCCCAATTATTCAGGAAAGCTCAACGCACGCTCTGTTCTGCCTCCTCCGATCCGACCGACAACCTTACACTCTGATTGTAGTTTAATGACAGACAGGGAGAGGGAGCTTGACTGTGGTGGTTGGCGAACCCTCAACTTTCTGGCCGATAGCCCTGCGACTGTGCCACAAAAGCATGCTGAAAAGGCAAAGTTGATATCCACGTTTATAAACACAGGGTCAATACAATTATTGTTAATTGTGTTCATAAACATTTTGAGTTAATTCAATGAAGGTGGGAGGATGTGCACTTTTTTTACAGTACGGGGGTGGTCGTCATGTGAAAATATTCTTTACGTTTGGGAGGGTGGTAAAAAATGTTTTTCTGGAAAGATGGCTAGGTGGGACAAACACATTTCAGTCACATACAGTGCCTTCAGAAAGTATTCATACCCCTTAAGTTATTCCACATAATGGATTAAAGATGTAATATGCAGAAATCGCTCCGCCATTTCCTGGTTGCAAAAATTCTAGTTGTTTGCCTAATTTCTTGTTTGTGACAAAACAAGCAAGTATAGTGTAGAGAATCATTTTACCATCTAAACCGGTGTGAAATCTTTTCCATAACCAAAAATGTTGTATTTTCAGCTGTTTGAACCTGGTGTACAAGACCGGAAGTAAAAGACGCAAAACGAAACTTAAAAATGGGAAGCATGGAAGTAGCGCACATAGAACAGATCTACTGCTTCTTAGACTTGAGGATAACAGATGAGAATCAAATCAAATGTTATTGGTCACATACACATTTAGCAGATGTTATTGCGGGTGTAGCGAAATGCTTGTAAAAAATTATTTCCAGCTGTATGTAATAACTCAAAACGTGTTCTGGGCTAATAATGTTTAAAAAAAACGAAATACTGCAAAGTTGCTTAGGAGCTAGAACCAGAGCTGCCATGTCTGTCGGAGACATCTTACCCAGATCTATAACTCACATTTCTGTTAATTTTGTCGGGTTGCCCAAAAAGTTACTTATTGCAGCTTTAAATATATTTTTTTTCTCACCCATTTATCTATCCTGTTGCCTAGTCACTATATACCTACCTTTATGTACATACAGTGCCTTCAGAAAGTATTCATACCCCTTGACTTATTCCACATTGTGTTGTTACAGCCTGAATTCCAAATTGGATTAAATAAACTCAGCAAAATAAGAAACGTCCTCTCACTGTCAACTGCATTTATTTTCAGGAAACTTAACATGTGTAAATATTTGTATGAACATAAGATTCAACAACTGAGACATAAACTGAAGAAGTTCCATAGACATGTGACTAACAGAAATTGAATAATAATGTGTCCCTGAACGAAGGGGGGGGGGGGGGGTCAAAAGTAACAGTCAGTATCTGGTGTGGCCACCAGCTGCATTAAGTACTGCAGTGCATCTCCTCCTCATGGACTGCACCAGATTTGCCAGTTCTTGCTGTGAGATGTTACCCCACTCTTCCACCAAGGCACCTGCAAGTTCCCGGACATTTCTGGGGGGAATGGCCCTAGCCCTCACCCTCCGATCCAACAGGACCCAGACGTGCTCAATGGGATTGAGATCCGGGCTCTTCGCTGGCCATGGCAGAACACTGACATTCCTGTCTTGCAGGAAATCACGCACAGAACGAGCAGTATGGCTGGTGGCATTGTCATGCTGGAGGGTCAGGATGAGCCTGCAGGAAGGGTATCACATGAGGGAGGAGAATGTCTTCCCTGTAACGCACAGCGTTGAGATTGCCTGCAATGACAACAAGCTCAGTCCAATGATGCTGTGACACACTGCCCCAGACCATGACGGACCCTCCACCTCCAAATCGATCCCGCTCCAGAGTACAGGCCTCGGTGTAACGCTCATTCCTTCGACGATAAACGCAAATCCGACCATCACCCCTGGTGAGACAAAACCGCGTCTCGTCAGTGAAGAGCACTTTTTTGCGAGTCCTGTCTGGTCCAGCAACAGTAGGTTTGTGCCCATAGGCGACATTGTTGCCGGTGATGTCTGGTGAGGACCTGCCTTACAACAGGCCTACAAGCCCTCAGTCCAGCCTCTCTCAGCCTATTGCGGACAGTCTGAGCACTGATGGAGGGATTGTGCGTTCCTGGTGTAACTCTGGCAGTTGTTGCCAACCTGTACCTGTCCCGCAGTTGTGATGTTCGGATATACCGATCCTGTGCAGGTGTTGTTACACTTGGTCTGCCACTGCGAGGACGATCAGCTGTCCGTCCTGTCTCCCTGTAGTGCTGTCTTAGGCGTCTCACAGTACGGACATTGCAATTTATTGACCTGGCCACAACTGCAGTCCTCATGCCTCCTTGCAGCATGCCTAAGGCACATTCACGCAGATGAGCAGGGACCCTGGGCATCTTTCTTTTGGTGTTTTTCAGAGTCAGTAGAAAGGCCTCTAGTGTCCTAAGTTTTCATAACTGTGACCTTAATTGCCCACCGTCTGTAAGCTGTTAGTGTCTTAACGACCCTTCCACAGGTGCATGTTCATGAATTGTTTGGTTCATTGAACAAGCATAGGAAACAGTGTTTAAACCCTTTACAATGAAGATCTGTGAAGTTATTTGCATTTTTACAAATTATCTTTGAAAGACAGGATCTTGAAAAAGGGACGTTTCTTTTTTTTGCTGAGTTTAGATTCACACGCATTACCCCATAATGACAAACGTGTTTAGACAATTCATTTACATAAGTATTCACATTCCTGAGTCAATACTTTGAAGAAGCATCTTTGGCAGTGATTACAGCTTTGAGTCGTCTTGGGTATGTCTATCAGCTTTGCACATCTGGATTTGGGGATTTCCTCCCATTCTTCTGTGCAGATTTTCTCAAACTCTGTTAAGTTAGATGGGGAGCGGCGGTGAACAGCAATCTTCAAGTCTTTCCACAGATTTTAAATGGGATTCAAGTCTGGGCTTTGGCTGGGCCACTCAAGGACTTTCACATTATTTTTCTAAAGCCATTGCGGTGTTGATTTGGCTGTATGCTTGGGGTCATTGTCCTGTTGGAATGTAAATCTTCACCCCCAGTCTAAGGTTGAACCACCCTTATGTATGTATTTTAATAATTATCTAATAAATTCAATCGATCAGTCCCTGCCGCTGAAAAGCATCCCCATATCGCAGCGTTTCCCAAACTCGGTCCTCGGGACCGTAAGGGGTGCACGTTTTGGTTTTTGCCCTAGCACTACACAGCTAATTCAAAGCTTGATTATTTTAATCAGCTGTGTAGTGCTTGGGCAAAAACGTGCACCCCTTGAGGTCCCGAGGACAGAGTATGGGAAACCCTGCAATAGCATGATGTTGCTACCACCATGCTTCACAATAGGGAAGGTATTAGACTGGTGATGAGCTGTGCCTGGTTTTGTCCAGACATAGCGCTTTGCGTTCAGGCCAAAAGGTTACATTTTTGTCTCATCAAACAGAATATTTTGTCTTATGCTCTGAGTCTTTCGCGTGCCTTTATGCAAACTCCAGGCGTGCTGTCATAAGCCTTTTTCTCAGGAGTGGCCACTCTTTCATAAAGCCCAGATTGGTGAAGTGCTGTAGAGACTGTTGTTTTTCTTGCAGGTTCTCCCATCTCAGCCAAGGAACTCTATAGTTATGTCAGTGGTCATTGGGTTCTTGGTCACCTTGCTGACCAAGGTCCTTCTTGCACGGTTGCTCAGTTTGGTCGGACGGCCAGCTCTTGGCAGAGTCTGGGTAGTTCCGTATTTTTTTCAATTTCCGAATGATGGAGACCACTGAAACTTTCAACGCTCAATTGTTTTATACCCTTCCACAAATATGCCTCATTACAATTCTGACTTGCATTGTCAACTGTGGGACCTTAAATAGACAGGTGTTTCTTTCTAAATCATGTCCAAACAATTGAATTAGCCACAGTTGGACTCAAATTGAATGCACCTGAGCTCAATTTGGAGTGTCATAGTAAAGGGGTTTGAATACTTATTGAAATGAGGTTTCTGTATTTCATTTTCACTAAATTAGCAAAAAAATCTCTTCCACTTTCTCATTCCGGGGTATTGTGTGTAGATGGGTGAGGAAAAAAATCTATTTAATCAATTTTGAATTTAGGCTGTAACACAACAAAATGTGGAATAAGTCAAGGGGTATGAATACTTTCTGAAGGCACTGTTATCTCTTTCAAGATGTATGAACCTTGGGGGTGAATTTGGTCACCTCATATTTGCGTTCATAATTAGCTTGCTCTCTGCTTAGGGAGTGAACGTTAATTATAATAAGGGTTACATGGAGAAATATCTGACCCCTCTGAAATGAAAATGGATGGCTTCAGCAAAATATATTTTACCTAAACCCTCCCTGAACGCTTGAAAAACCAAACAAGTGACACTCCTCAATACCCAAAATAATAATTAAAACAAAGTGGATAGCAGAGAACGTCTACTATTTTACCCTCACTTCTTGGACAGACCAGAGCCATAGATATGCAGTTTTAGAAACTGTTCTTCGTCCTGTAAGCATTATATGAAAACGCAGGAATTTTGATAGCGCACAGGGCTGCGGGCCAGAAGGTTGTGGGTTCGCAGACCACCGTGGACAAGAGTAGGGGTGGAAAGATCTCCTTTTATAGTAAAAGCATTGCATGAATCTATCATATTTGCAGGCCCAAGAAAAAATATGTATTTTTATTAAAATGTCATGTAATTCAACGTCATTTTACAGATTAGCAGAATCTTTCTTAATATCACACAAATTACCGAAATTACAAGATAAGAATGGACAAAGATAGGCCTATGTGTATATCTAATCATATTTCTCCAATGCCAAATGAGTAGGTCTTGTTTGCAATAAATTGTCACTGTTTGCAAATAATTCAATCTGAGACGTCGTTAGGAATCTGAGCATAGTACTTTCAAAAGTTAGGCCTACCTTTCCACCCCAGACAAAGTAGGCCTACCGACACAGAAAAATGTAAACTTTAACTGCCTGCTACTCTTCTTCCAAAGTTTTTTATTTTTTTATTTTTTTATCTCATCGGCTATAGAAGGTTGTAGCTCAGCCTCTAAATGTCAAAGAAATGAAACAATGATATTCCCATATGGATTGGAGTCACGTCTTTCCCGGGTATTGTCCAGCTTGTTTCTAGTGTAAAGCATTGCGGACCAAAGCGCTGTTATAGATCACTTTTATATAATCAGATCCGTTTAATTTTCTTGAAAATCTTAAACTAACAAGGGGGTAGGCCTGTGGTTTTTGACATTTTCTTTAATAAAAGGTAGGCCTATGGCAATTAGTCTTGGTTTTAATTTAACAGCCCTTCACTGACACCGAGGTAGGATATTTAAAGAGTGGATGGTGGGTGGAGGAATTGACAGACAAATCTATGGATATATCAGCCTATAGCCTAATTCCTCCTGTCAAACAGGTAGGCCTACCTCTTATTTCTTTAAATAGGAAGAAATAGGCTCCAACACAAAGCCGTCTTGGTTTGTCAAGTCTAATTTAAAATGAAGACTGTTGAAATGAATGATGCCTACTCACCATTTCCGATTGATTGTGCTACTGCTTCAAGTTTCAGCACCACAGTGTAAGTTACTCGAATCTGGCTTATCTGGTCAATAACTTGGATAATTACATCATGGACAAACATTTAAGTGTAGCAGCTATCAAAGTTGAGCTCCGGTCCTCCTCATCTTCGCGCTCTCCTTCTCAAACTGAACAGGCTATAGACTAGTCCGCACGCAAAAAGTGGATGTTTTGGACTAGGCCTAATCAACAAACAAAACAAATCAGCAGAAGCCTTTGACTCTCCTTCTGAACTGCCACCGTAGGCCTATACAGCATATCCATTGGTTATGCAGCACACAAAATAACTTGTATTATTATCAGCAAGCGCAGTCAGGTGCTCAGGGTTGGAATATCCATTGCCATGTGTAATGCAGCCTAGTTGTATTTACACCATCCTACCAGCTATCTTAGAAATATAACTTTGCTCTGTGCTTCTCCGAGCATGCACTTCGTAGCCTATAGCCCATAGGCTATGGATCATTTGATTGGGACCACACTAAATAGCCTATAGGCACACTTGTATTGCGTGCCCAGCGGAGAATCAGAGATGAGGGGCGGCATCAGGCACACGATATATAGCCTAATAAGCAACTAATTCTAAAACCTGACAAATTACATGACCCTCCCCGGGACTGAAATTGAAATAGCATGACCCTCCCCCATTTTCCTCCAGGTAACCATTCTCTAAATGTCGATCAATCCCTTAGCTAGCAGATAAAGTCTGGCCTTACACAGGAAGCCCACACCTAAAGATCAACAATATCTGTCGTCCTGTGACCCAGGTGCTGGAGTACCTGTTTACTCATGCCCGTCTTTGTGAGCGGGGATTTGATCCCAGTGCCATAGAGGAGTGCTTAGATATGTTCCAAAACTCTGAAGAGAAGGTAAGTCCACCCACAGTCTCATCTCTCTCACACACAGATATGCCTGTTTCTACAGATGCACTCAACATGCCAAAGATGCTAATATCCAGCTAATAACTCTTATCTGTGATGCATTCGAACACAGAAATGTAGAGTGGCCTAAGGTAGGGTTCACTTCCAGTTTTCCCTGAACTTGGATACACCAAGCATGTACTGCTTTCCTCCCTCCACAATACTTCTGAAGTGTTTGTTTTTTAACAATCTGTTTATTCGATCAAGTACACAAACAGTCCGTAACAAGAATTCCCAATTACAATGCATGTTTTTCATGATTTCCTCAGACCTTGGAGTTCCTGTCGCTGATGACTCGGTTTGGTGAGATGGGCTTTGAGAAGGACACCATCAAGGAGGTGCTGCTGGTGCACAACAATGACCAGGACAAGGCTCTGGAGGACCTCATGTCCCGCGCCACAGCCAGCTGAGCCCTCCAACCAACCATCCACCCACAGGCCTCTGGCTGGCTGGCTTCCTCCCAGTACCACCCGCCCGTCCACCCCTAAACACACAGTCCCCATGCCCCACCCGATATAGCTCATGACCCCAGTCTGGCCCACTCACACACAGTGACCCCAAGAAAGATAGTAAACACATACACTAACATAAGTGAGAAATGGGACCTTTGTGTTCCTGGAGTGTGGGGCAGTGGACAAATGGACGCAAACGAGGGGGTTGGTTTATGCTGACCACATGCCTGTTTTACCTTTCTGTCGATCAACGTGTGTGCTCCATGATGGTTTGAAGGAGGCGTGAACTTCCCATAGGAGCATATAGAGGTGACCCGATGCTGGACAGCACTTTGGTGGGTGTGTCTGACTCTGTGGGTGGGACTTGGAGGAGACAATGGACCTAGAACTGTGAGGAACCACTAGCCAGGCTCTACTTTCTACAGATAAACAGTTAACACTCCCAGCTAACTAAGCTGCCATATTATGCTGTTTAGAGCAGGCCTACAAAATGGTGGAGGGGAGGGGACGCCAAGCGGCCCATGTGTGACTTACTGACCGACCGACGGCAGAACCTAGAAACGCAAATGCGCATCATCGCAGAACAGAGAACTGACTCCAAGAAGTGCCCTCTTCCCGCGAATGGCGTTCACAGATATCATATTTTCTATGCTGTCATTTTGCTTGTTCATTTGTCTGTTTCGAAAGGACACACATTATTTTATAGAGATTCTCTTTCTTTGCTTTCTGTTTTAGGAAGTGCATTAACAGTAATAATAATATAACTGCTACTACTGCCTGTTGGCTCCTCCTGCACTGGAACAGACTGCAAGGCCAATTATTTTGCAGGAAATATAAAACATGTCCAAATGCATACACGCACCCAATGGCACAGAGATGTGAAAACTGCACAGACACCACACCAACATAGATATTGACTTATTTAAAAAGTACACTGACATTTAATAATGAGATCAATATGAAGAAAAAATGAAAAATCTTGTATGATAAGCAAGCAAAATGATGGTGCTTTGAAACAGTCCCCATTGGGGTCGATTTTATAGACTGGACAGAGAGAAGAGAAAAATAATGGAAATGTTAGGTTGTTCTGCAACCAAAACGTTTGTGCAATAGATGTTTTATGATGTGACTGACTGGCACCTTTTTTAGACCCAGTGAACTTTGGGTGTCCCTGAGCAAATCCCAAAATGACTGATGGCCTTTGCTGGAGACACGCTCACTGGAGGAGGAAATGTGTAGAAGAAAATATTTGATTTCATTGTTTGCTGTCATTTACTCCCCTCATTATTGGAGTTCATGCTTCACTATCAACTATGAGTAGAGTTTGTCTGACTCGTCACACATATTCATGCTGATCTGAATGTGTTTTGGCCTCACTCTGGTGTCATGCATAGGAATCGGACTGGCAAATCTTCCAAGAACAGGTCAGAAGATAAAACATCTTACCAGTTAGATTTTAACCAAATTCGTTAGGGTGATATTTTATGTTCTAATTGTACTTCATATAGCTATGTTTTCACCTTGCATCGATCCTTTTGACTACTGATCTGTGTGTATGAGTCTACAGGTATTTTTGAAGTGCCATGATGATGCTCTCCATTTCATGTGTGAATCTTGGTTCACAGAAAAGTATCTCTGTCCTCTCCCAACCAAGCAGCCAGTTGATTCACGCTTCAAGATTACTTTTTGAAGATGACAAAATATTTATTTAGAATACAACAGTCTTCATCGCGGGGAGATCTCTTTATAGAACACAAGTCTTGATCTCCTCTGTTAATCAAGGGGAGATCTCTCTGGTAATCAAGGGGATCTCGTGACACGTGAGATTAAGGCCTGAAAAGCAGTACATGGGAACGTGACTATGAAAATTGGCACTTCAATCAGAGGTTGTATCTAGTTCTGCCATCTGAAGACGTGAACAAACAATTGTTACAGATTGACAAAATCATGTAGGCCTATTGTAAGAATCTGGCATTGAGAACATATGTAGAGTTTGATCTTTCTATTGATAGCATGTTGCCAATACAGATATGAGTGTGTCAGTCATGGTCTTGGCAGTGTGTGCCACTTAACCCAGACGGATCCACTTGCCTGCAGATACTGAAACACCCCAGATCCCATTATGAATTATTAGACTGTGAGCATAGCGTCTAAACGCCGGGCCACCTCCAGACCTTGCTCTGAACTATAGGCGAACTTTAGCCTCCTGATAAGTTGTACATTTCCTTTGAACACTCAGACTTCTTTGGGGAGGGGGGCACAAGAAGCCAAGCCACATAGAACATGTTGATGGTTGAGAGAACAAGTGCTAGCCTGCTTTTTTCATTGTGGACATTATTGGGTCTAATCCTAACTTGATATTGTTTTTTTGTGAGTCAATGAGAGACTTGGGAAGGGCTGGTCTGATATGACGAATCTGGAGTTTTATGTCTTAATGATATAAATAAGTGGTGTTCCTGGTAGCTCCTGAAATGTAGTTTTTTTTTTTTTATCGTTTTCTCCTGAATCATTTGGCAGTTCTTCAATGTGATTAAACATACACATCTTTTCAATGGTGTGGCTGTTACTATTTATAAGGTGTGTTGGTGTTTTTTATCAATGGTTATTGGAAAACAAGTCATTCGATACATTCTAGCTGTGGTATGTTTTTCACCTGGTTTGTACAGCAGCACAATGGTTTGGTAGCAATTGTTAGACACGACAACAACAATGCAAAGAGATGATTGTTCCCTGAGCATTGTGAGTAAAGGCGAGAAACTTCCAGTTTTGTGGAGTGGTCAGCATAAAAAAAAAAAAAAGAATTGGTGCCTTTTATTTATGCTGCCTCAGTCAAAGTAGATGGGCTGTTCTGTTCATATTCCATTACTAACTTTTACATCAGAGCCTGAGCTGTGCGGTTATATGCTCTATCTACATTTGTTCCATGCCCGGTTCCATTTTGGAACCCTTTGAAACTGCCAGTGTGAAAAATGCCCTTTTGTGTTCACACAGATCTCAGAGCTGTATAAGTGGAAGCAATATGATTGAAGCTTGACTGCCTATTGAGGGGCTGCATAGAGCAATAACCACACTGCTTACCAGTGGTGGGAAAGTACTCAATTGTCATACTTGAATAAATACTACTTCAGTAAAAGTCTAAAAGTGTCTGGTTTAAAAGGTACTTAAGTACAGTGGTGGAAAAAGTACTCAATTTTCATACATGAGTGAAAATGCTATACATGTATCCTTGTATTAAGCTAACCAGATGGCACAATATTCTTATTTACTTTTTTTTAAGGACAGCCAGGCCAGGGGCAAACTCCAACACTCAGACCGAATTTACAAACGCAGTATTAGTGTTTAGTGAGTCCACCAGATCAGAGGCAGTAGGGATGACAACGTGTTATATTGATAGGTGCATAAAATGGACCATATTGCTGTCCTGCCTGAGCATTCAAAATGTAACGATTACTTTTGGGTGTCAGGGAAAATGTGCAGGTTAGCGTTTTTCATCATGAATCTTGTTGTGGAGGCAGCTCTGCAGAGTGGTCAGTAACTGGCACAGCCACAAAGTCATAAAATCTGAAAACCTAACCTTATCCACACTACTAACCCTAACCTTAAATTAAGACCAAAAAGCAATTTGTTTGTTTTCATGAATTTCTACAATATAGCCAATTTTGACATTGCAGCTGGCCTATCTAAGGGGAAATTGCTCAGTTCTGCCTCCAGGACAAGACTCATGAAAGATGTCAACCTGCGGAAAATGTATGGGAGTAAAAAGTACATTTTTTCTTTAGGAATGTAGTGGAGTAAAAGTAAGCAAAAATATAAATAGTAAAGTACACTAAATGACTTAAGTAGTACTTCAAAGTATTTTTACTTGGTTACTTTACACCACTGCTACTTAGGTAACCAGTCTTCTAGGACCTGTGACCACCACAAGTAGCCTGGTCTCAGATCTGTTTGTGCACTTGGCTGCCAACTCCAATGTTGTCATTGTCAAGCCAAACATTTGGCATAACAATGAGTGAAAAGGAGTTGGCATGATAGCACAGCCAACACCAAAAGGGAAAGGAGCTCAAAACCTAAATGGAACTTGGCTGAAAGTGGGCTAAAATCCATGACATATTTGTATTTCCTATGTGATCCCTAACTATGCCATGGTTCTTTTACTATTCCAGACCTTCAAATCAAAGTTTGTCACATACACAGATTAGCAGATGTTAAAGCAGGTGCAGCGAAATTCTTGCGTTTCTAGCTCCAACAATTCAGTACATGTCTAACAGTACAATACTAATATACAAATAATCCCAAGAAAGAAAAAAAGAAGAAACAAGAAGTTAAGAAATATCAGAACGAGCAATGTCAGAGTCCTGAGTATAAATATGTGGCGTGTATGGACAATATACACAGTGTACAAGAACATTAAGAACACCATCCTAATATTGAGTTGCATGGGATGCTGGCCCATGTTGACTCCAATGCTTCCCACAGTTGTGTGAAGTTGACTAGATGTCTTTCGGGTGGTCGACGATTCTTGATACACACGGGAAACTGTTGAGCGTGAAAAACCTAGCAACGTTGCAGTTCTTGACAAACCGGTGCACCTGGCACCTACTACCATACCCTGTTCAAAGGCGCTTAAAGCTGTTTTTCAGTCTCTCGGTCCCAGCTTTGATGCAACTGTACTGTCTCCGCCTTTAATATAGATGGTAGCAGAGTGAACAGGCTGTGGCTCGGGTGGCTGAGGTCCTTGATCTTCTTAGCCTTCCTGTGACACCGGGTGCTGTAGATGTCCTGGAGGGCAGGAAGTTTGCCCCCGGTGATGCATTGGGCTGACCGCACCACCCTCTGGAGAGCCCTGCGGTTGTAGGCGGTGATACAGCCCGACAGAATGGGTCTTAGGGGCCAAGCCGAAACAAGCTGTAGCCTTCTTCTCCAAAGTGTTGATGTGGAGGGACCATTTCAGGTCCTCA